GAGCTGGAGGTTCTGATGACCGAGGAAATGGCGAACAGGAAGCTTCGGGCTGATCGGCAGGAGCAGGACGCCCTCAAGCACTACCAGGAGGAACGTGTACTACCTTTTCAGAGGGAGACCCGGCGGCGACCGGGGCCCTGGAGGATCGTGGAGATCTTCGCATGGGCTTGCCAACTCACGATCCTGGCGGCGAACATGGGATGGGACGCCCACCAACCCATCACAGCGCCAGAGTTTGACCTCTTGACGGTCCAGGGCAGGAACGAGGCACGGGCGTACCTGGTTGCAGTTGACCCAGACTTCGTGGCTTTGTCCCCGCCTCCTACGGCATGGAGTCGACTGCAGAGTGTCGACCAGCGAAGGCCTATGCGAGTGCGCCGGCAACGCCGAGAGCGGACCGAGTACCGCATGTTGCTCTCGTTCACGGACGAGGTGATGCAGTGGCAAGCTGCAAGGGGACGCGCAGCCATGGTAATGGACCACGCGCAATCGACAATCTGGAGCCAGCCACCCGTGAATGCAACGAAGTCGAACCCAGCATTCGAGGACGCGATCTGCCTCCAGGACACCACGAGGGTGTTGGCGAACCCTGAGGTTTGCACGGCTGCGCGCGGGAGCTGCGCAGAGGAGTTCGCCAAGGCTGTGATGACCGGTGCCACGGACCATTTGGTTCGGCAGTTCGAGAACTCGAGTTTCCCTGCGGCGCAACTCCCGGACCCCACGGAGGAGCCCAGGAGTTATGGACCCGAGCCCGCGGAGCATGGTCCTGGAGAGGCTCCCGGAAACGTTTCGGAGAGACCTGAGTGGGGCAAAACACCGCAGGAGATTCGAGCCGAGATTCGCGAGGCATTGCAGAAGACGGTGAAGGAGGAGTCCATGCAGCACCCTGCGGAGGAGGAGGAGGTTGCAGCCTCCTGGTCAGAGATGGAGCTTCCGGAGGTGGTGCGGCAGGACATCATGACGAAGATTCCCCGGAGTACGCGACGTGCTGTGCGGAAGGCCCATCGCGGTCTTGGACACCCCAGCCGACCGACGTTCATCAAGATGCTGCGTCTCGGCGGTGCAACGCCCAACGCGTTGGCATACGCGAAGCATTGGCAGTGTCCGACTTGTGCTGAGTCGGAGGCGCCGCCCCGTCCAGTGCAAGGGACGGCGGACGTGCGACCATTCGGCTTCAATGTGACGGTTGTGATCGACGTGAAGTACCTACGGGACGCGGCCAAGGAGCAGCTGGTGGTCCTCAGCATGGTGGACGCTGGTACGGGATGGCACTGCGCATGCCTTCTCAAGAATAGGACGGCCAAGCACGTAGCGCGCCAGATCATGAACGAGTGGTTCAAGCATTACGGCGTGCCAGAGAACATCGTGATCGACCAGGGCGGCGAGTTCGAGGGCTACTTCAACGCGCTGATGGAGCAGTTCGGTATTAATACGAAGACGACGGGAGCTCATGCAGCATGGCAGCATGGCCTGGCAGAGCGCCACGGAGGATTGCTCGGCACTATCTGGGGCAAGGTGGTGCACGAGTTCCACGTCCAGGGCAAGTCGATGTCTACTGTGGCCCTGGCTGCCATCATCAATGCGAAGAATTCGACGATCAGCCGCAATGGGTTGACCCCGGAGCAGGCTGTCTTCGGGCGGATCTTGAATTTTACGGAGGTGACTAACAGGGACGACGATGAGGTTCTCATGTCGGTTCTCGGCGCTAAGGGCATAGCTTGGCGTTCGTCTCAAATCCGCACCGCAGCCAAGATGATGTTGCTGGAGCGCGACGCGACGGACAAGGTGCGGAGGGCGCTGCTGCGACAGGCGCCGACGGTCGTCGGCGATCTGTGCCCAGGATCGCGGGTGTATTTCTGGGCACCGAATCCGTTCAAGGGACGTCGTCGGCAAGATCCTGAAAGATGGCGGGGTCCTGCGACTGTGATCGCGAAGGAATCCAACAGCCGGTATTACGTATCATGGCGTGGTCACGTGCTACTTGTTGCTCGTGAGCAGCTCCGGCACGCCTCCTCCCAGGAGGCCGCGGCTGCGGAGTCCATCCAGACGGACGTGCGGCTGACACAGCAGCGAGATGATCGCGCCTACCACGACATCGTGGACGTCACGCCCAAGGTGAAGGTTCAGAAGGTGAAGAAGACATTCCTGAAGAAGGAGCGTGACCGATATAGTGAGCTCGAGGGGTCCAGGCAGCCTCGTGTGGATCTGAGGGCCCTGGACGCCATTGAGGCACAGGCTAAGGAGGAGGAGCCACCTGAGCAGGAGCAGTTGCCGCAGCTTCCGCCTCCGAGGAGGGCACGGTCTCGTTCCCCTCCAGGCCGGATGTCCTCTGGGACGTACCCGGAAGCTTCTCCGGGAGCATCGGGCTCTGGCGGCCCTTCGGTGCCGCCGATTCCCAGAGACGATTTCGAGCTCGAGCGGAAGCGGAAGTTCCTGGTAGATGACGTGCCGAGTTGCATTAAGAGATCGCGTCTGCAGGCTGCCCCTACGAGTGGCTTGCCGGCTCTCCGCGAGGTGGCCATGAACGCTGTTGTGCACTCGGGACCCCAGGAGTGGTTCGACCAGAATGCCTTGGATGGTGTCTCCACGCTCGTTCAGAAGGTCGTACGAGGAGTACGTGTGCATCGAGAGCCACGGCGGAGACTTTATGATCACGACCGCCACCGGGAGTGCAATCGCCTGTCGGTGATGCTCTCCGCCACGGGCCAGTGTGCCTACAAGGACGACGGCGCGAGCCGTACCAACGAGCGCACGGAGGACAGCTGGGTTGGTCTCACGCTCTTCTACCACGACAAGCCGGACGCTCAGGCACAGGGGGTGTACTATTTGGACACTCCGGAGGGTCTTGTACGGCAGCCGATGACTTACGAGGAGTGGATCAACGTGTCATCTGTGTATGACGCATGGCTGCAGGAGGCGCGGTACGAGCACGACGTGTTCGCACTCGTGATGAAGCAGAACGCGAAGGAGCTAGACCCACGTCACTTCGACCAGCACGAGAAGGCTAAGTTCGACGAGGCCGATGCCGCCGAGTGGCGGCAATGGATCGCCAACAACACGGTCGAGCTGGTCACCGAGGAGGAGGAGAAGAGCATTCCAAAGGACAAGATCATCTCGGTGCCCATGCGTTCGGTTCGCACGAACCGGGGGCGAGGGCTGGAGTTGGAGGCGAAGTCGCGCTTGATCATCCCTGGCCATCTCGACCCGCAGCTTGGTCTATTCAGGACGGATTCGCCTACTACTTCCCCTTTGGCCGTGCTGGTGTGTGCGTCTATCACAATGGCGATGGATTGGACATTCGAGTGCTTCGACGTAGCGACTGCGTTCCTGTCCGGGCTGAAGCTGGAGCGGGAGCTGTATGTGAGGGCTCCTAAGGACGGGCTTCCAGCCGTCGACGGTGCTGGATGGCCAGCTGTGCGGCCTTATGCGTTGCTTCGTCTGCTGAAAGTGGCGTACGGTTTGACGGAGGCGCCTCGGTTGTGGTATCTCCGAGCCCGCCAGGTGCTGACGGACGAGGTCGGCTTTGTGGAGCTGCGCTGTGCTAGAGCTGTCTTCGTTTATCGGGCGTGCGGCAAGTTGATTGCTATGTTGACCTTGCACGTCGACGACGGCATGCTGTTTGGGGACCCGCGCGACCCCCAGTACCAGGAGGTGAAGGCGAATATCAAAAGGCGTTTCAACATCAAGCACTGGAAGGAGGGCAACGACAAGGAGGCAGTCGCCTATCTCGGTGAGGAGTGGTGGCGCCACCCCGAACACATCGAGATTAGCATGCACGAATACATCGGCAAGCTGACAAAGCACCCCCTTGCAAGGGGTGACGACGAGGAGCGGGAGATGACTCCCGAAGAGCACCACGACTTCCGGAGCTTGCTCCAGAAGGTGCGATGGCCTGTCGCACGCGTAGTGCCACAGCTCGCGTACAGTGTGTCGGCGCTCGCACAGAAGGATCCGAAAGGTCGGAGGTTACTGCACCTGCGAGTGCTCAATGACATCATCGACCGGCTTCAGGACTACGACAAGAGAGGTCTTGCGTTCAGTGTGGCTGGGGGTCAGAGATCGAGCCCGACTTTAGAAGGCGTTCAGTTGTGCTCTCGTGGTCGACGAAGGGCCACGTCAAGTTGTTAGGCCAAGTTTCAAGTGGCGTGGGAACACGCTACGTCCACTTCTCACATTACCTATAGTTCGGCACGCATGTCAGTGAACACGCGCGACGAGACTTCCTCAGCAGATCAGAGGTCCCACTTCCCAGCGCAAGGCACTTGTACCAATGATGTTGGATAGGGGGAATCATGATGGGAGGATCGCTCCGATTATGTATGAGCTGAAGGAGAGGGTCGGGGAACAGGAGGGGGAGGGGAGGCTGGAACATCAAACCTCCTCCCCCCCCCTCAACACTAGTTAATAATAGCTTAGCGCACGTTTGCTGGCAGTCGCTTGGGTGCTTCGCTAAACAGAAGGGCCTATCAACACGACTACTACTCCCATGTCCCCCCATGTCATAGCAATCCGTCCCGTCGTACTCGCATGAGGGGCTCGTGTCCTCACCATCGTCATTTGCATGTTCGTAGTCTTCTGTGCCGTTGCTCACCCACTACCCCCGCCGTTACTTAGTGGCCATAGGCCCATCCTGCCACCGTGCCTAGGCGATGGGTCAGAGGCCTCTTGGGGATTCGACGGGGTCTCTTGGGATGTCGTTCGGAGGCAGTTGGGGTACCATGTGTACTACTTCTGGGAATCACTATGGGACTTCTTGGGGCCTCGTTGTGTATGGAGGAGACAGAAGGTAGGAGAGGGGCAATGACGGCGAACAAAGCCCAGAAGCACACGCAGGCCCATCGGCCATTCATCTGGCACCGTGGCGCCTTCAGAATCCGAGCCCCGTGAAGATACCCTGATCAGAAACATCGCAACAGCTCATGGCAGCACGAACGCCGCCTAACATGACAGCTGTTATTCATAGCCATTTTGGCTCCAGATGGCCCACGCCATTTTGGCGAATGGATATCCATGCGATCTTGGATCGCGGCTTACTGCAGGTCGATGACCGTGGCGGTGGCGCCGCGGCGGGCGAGGCCCCAGAGGCCGCTGCCGTGGCGGGCGAGGCTCCAGAGGCACCAGCTGCCGTGAACGAGGGCGAGGCTCCAGAGGCACCAGTCGTGATAGTTGGTCAGGCTCCAGAGGCACCAGTCGTGATAGTTGGTCAGGCTCCAGAGGCACCAATCGCTGAGGCGCCCGCCGCTGTGGATCTCAGCAGTTATCCTTCAGAGCTCGCAGTTCCACGGGTGGTCAAATTCAGAAGATGGTCCAGAGAGCACATGCAGCATATGAGAGAGGCGTTGGCCAAGAAACGGATGGCACAACTCAGGAGTGACCTGGTCGACGCACGGCGCACTCACAGAGATTCGATTCAGGCGATCACCACCTTGCTTCCAGATGCGAGCAAGTTGATTCCACGGTCGAAGGCTCATGCGATTGGGAGGAGACGTAAGCCGCTGGAGCCATGCGATGTGTCGATTGCGTGTCGTGCAGCCCACCTTCCGAAGTCAGCCAAGCTCGCCCTCGGAGTGAAGCACACCAGGCTTGTGCTTGCGTGCGCTCGTGTGATAGAGGCCAGGCAGGAGTTCGCGATCGGCGCGATGCTGAAGAGTGCTCGTTCTGCCACTGGTCGTCGACAGGACGGCGCCCATCAGCCATCTCCCCGTGGTGTTCACGTCACGTATGCGCACATGTGGGACGAGGTTGCCACTAAGTTCAGGTGGAAGCCGTCGAAGGCCTTCCGAGCTCGACGGACCACGACTCGACCAACCTTGGTGCAACGGGGCTGCGTCACGTGGTTGTTGTACAATCGTCAGGCGAGTTTGGCATCAGGTTACAGAGAATACGTGCTCGTCAAGTCGTCGGCCTTGGCGGGGACATCTGCTCAGTGCTTGTATCCAGGAGTGCGGCGAGGAGTGCCTAAACAGTTTCGGCTTGACGACGGCGAGCAGATGAATACCATCAGCGAGCATGTCAATTCCTTCACGTTTATGCCCGTTGCGGACAAAGCAGGTTCCAACGTTGCGATCATGAAGCACTGGGGCCAGTTGCATGAGTCTGAAACGCTGTCGTTGCCCAGGTCCCCGAAGATCTTGTACTGGCCCGAAGTATGCGGGATACATTTGCATCACAGGGCCAAGCTCCAGGTGAAAGGGATTCGATCTCATGTCATGCGCCATTACGGCATCGCTCAGATCCAGAAGCTTCAGAAGACAATGACGAGAGTCACACGGGCAGTTGAGGTTTTGGTGAGGAAACGGTGCAAACGAAAGGTCGGCCCTTCGCCAGCTGGCGACGACACGTTTTTCAATGTGATCAACACGTTCTTTGATTTCAGTGCCAAGCATCACGAGCGAAAAAACGGTGGCCATTCGCAACAGTGGCACGATCTCCGTGAACTTTGCAGCTTGGTGAACGGCAGCTGGCGCGACAAGGAGTGGGTTCATTGGTGCCACGACGCCAGCACGGGGCTGCCATGCTGCAGGAGCGAATCAGAGTGCAAGGAGAAGGTCACCATCGCGGTGTGCAACGCCACGTGGGGGAACCAGGACAAGGTGCCAGCGGAGTCCAGGTGGACGAACACCCTGGCGAACTTCAAGCAGTCGCTCGTCCGTCGTCTAATTTACCGCGTTGGCGTTGATAGCTTCTGCTTGGACTTGGAGTGCGAGGCAGGCGACGGCGACGCGGACGATCACGTGAAGCTCGATGGTGAGAGTAGGGGCGAGTTCCATGCCATGGTCAACAGGCTTAGGAATAAAAAGATCAAGGAGTATTACCAGTGTGACGAGAACTTTTGGCAGCTTGGGGTCTATGTCGCAATCCTTGAGATTTCGGACGGTTGTTTACTTTACCCACTGCTCAGGGACCCCATTCCAGATGACGAGTCGATTCCCAGCAAGATGGATGTGTTGCTCGACCCGCGCAATGGGAAGGTCGAGGAGTGCTTCGCATTGTTGCTCGGCCTTTTGAAGTCGTGGACGAATCGAGAGGACACTAGCGACCATCCTTGGACTGTGTTGGAAGCCATTGGAGCGCCAATGGAGTCAGAGGCGTTCCAGCGCTGGACTCGATCTCAGATTCTTCGGCTCTCTTCTGCGCTGTACAGGAGGTACGAACTACGCCTTTCATCGTGGCCATACAAGCTGTATGCGCTGATTTCGGCAGATGATTACACGGAGGAGCAGAGGACGAGTTTGGCCCAGGAGTTGCTCGATGCTGACGCCGACGTGCTGGACGTCTACAGTCGCGGCATCCGCCGCTTGTACCCCACAGTGCAACGCTTGCTGTCCTTCGACTGCTACTCCACGCTCCTGGCCGACTTCCGCAGCCACCCGTATGGCATCGACTTCATCGAGAGGCTCAACAAGCAGATGACGCATAAGAACACCAAATCGACCAGCGGGAAGAACATGTCGTACGCGTGCAGGGAGGACTTCCTGCAGCAGGCGGCCGTGGTTCATCAGCATCGCGGCGGGTCACATCCCCTGAAGGCCAGGTGCGGGCAGCAGGCGTCGAAGCAAGAGACTGTGCGCTACAACCCGCTGCTTGCGAGTTATATCGCAGGCGTCCATAGCGATGCAGGCGGTGATGTGCTTCCCGTTCTGGATTCTGGCGGCGACGTCGACGCGGATGCGATCGTAGAGTGGAGCGGCGACAACTTCACTGCTGACGGCGTGGTGGCGACAGGGGGGGCGCTGGATTTCGATATCACGTCTTCCCAGTCGTCGCAGGAGGAGGGGAGGCGCGCTGGCTTGAGCGTTTTTCTGCTCGAGCGCAATCGGTGGATGCAGGCGGCCAGACGTCTGCAGGGGAGGCCTTTGACAGATGACGAGGTTAAACATCAGCATCGCTTGTTTCGCAAACTGTGGAATGAACTATCGTTGTGTGAGCATGACGTCTTTAAGGAAGCGTACTTGATATGGAGGGATTCCCCCAGAACGAGTGCAGACATTGATGCAGTGAAGGAGTACTTGCCTACGTGGGGTGGGGGTCGCAGCAGTTCTCCCATCGCGCCGCACGAGCTTTCTTCGTATATCAATTCTCACGGGTGGCCCACCGATGTTGACGTGTACGATGCAGGTGAACTTGAAGTGGCAGTTCCGAGAGATAGCACGTTTGACGAGGAAGGCAGCACGGAGTTGGACCTATGGGGCTTGTTGCGGCGGGCCCGTAATGCGAACAGAGCTGCTTCGAGGAGTCCGCGGGGGTTCGACCTCATCGAGCGCGGCATCTTTAACTTCATTGCCAGCGTCGGGAAAGCCGTCGCGGACGAGGGTGACCTCATGATCATGGTCGACGGCCCGTCGGTCCATGTCGCAGGTTCGCACTGCAGGCGGCTCGCGCTGGTCACTGGCACGACCTACAACCCCCACGTCTTCGACGTCACCGAGGTGGAGTTCGATCGGGCCGACTTGCACTCGGTCGAGGCTCCTCGGAGGAAGGGACAGTCAACGGACGTTGAGACATATACTTAGTGGCGTTATGTATCTCGTGGTTTAGCCCAGTCGTTTTCTCGGCCCTGCGTTCCCTGGCCCTGGCTGTCCTGGCCAGCCCCCCCCCCTGCCCCCCCGTCGGTGCCAGCATCCTGGGGTCGGAGGGGGGTCTTCAGGTGGGGTCAGGAAGAGGGGGCTCGAACGCGTTTCCATCCCACGGGTGTCTAATGTAGGAAGGGCCCCAGGAGGGCTCAGCCCTTCGCGGGCAGGGGTAGGGGTATGCGTCTGCGGGGGTCGAGGGGGCCATGAGGAGACCTCGCCCCTAGACTAGCGCATGTCGGCTTGCGTCCCATCGCAACCCTTGCGGGCGCGCGTGCACACCTTTAGCCAGGTCTATCGGAGATGTGGCCTGGCGCATAAGGCTTGCATGCGCGTAGGGACAGCGCGACAACAAATCCAGGGCAGAAAGCGAACTGGGGGCACCCAGGGGTCGGGGTACACGCATCCAGGGATAGAGGCTTCGGGAGAAGTTACAAACGCATACTTTCGGAGGCAGTGCAACACGGCAAAACCATGGGGGTTAGAGAAGGGGTGCAGAGAGAGATAGAGGGAGATCGGTGAGGAGGGAGGGAACTGACTACAGACAAGGAGGGAGGGTGTATAGACGAACAGAGGGGGAGAGATAGAGAGAGAGAGAGAGAGAGAGAGAGAGAGAGAGAGAGAGAGACCCCAACCGACAGAAGGTTTCTAGTCTAGGGGCGTTGTGCCGTTTCGGGCTTGCCGCCAGCATGCAGAACGCCACGTAGGTTGTCTCGCCGTGCGCTGACTGGGCCTCTCAGGTCCTGGAGTTGCCTTGCGACGCCGTCATCTCGACCAGGGCATGCAAGATGGGGTGGAGAGAGCCGCCGCTGGGGACCCCGACTGTGTCCACGCGCACGTCAGACGAGTGGATCGCGAAGTGCTTGGGCGAGATGAAGGCGCTGAAGCTGCATCGGCTGACCTATGTCGTGATCACTCCGACGGGTTCGCTCGAGTGGTCTCGCATCACCCAGTGCGAGTTGCTCGGCGACCTCTGGGCGGACGGCGTGAAGTCACCCTTGACATTCGGCACTAAGTCTAGCAAGACCGACTACGAGCGCGGCACGTCGCTGATGTCGAAGATGTTGCGCGGGGACCCGTTCGATGAGAAGGGCAAGGATGCCGTGCACAAGCACGGCAGAGGCCAGCACGGTGGCAGAGGGCGGGGTGCTGCGAGAGGTCGAGCTGGTCGTTCTGGCAGAGGCAGAGCTGCTGGCGCGAGCGTCGCAGCCATCGCCGACGCCGAGCCGGTGCCAGAGGACACGGACGGTGGCGACAGGCGTGACCCCAGTGACATCGACATGCGTGATAGCGAGGAGGAACTTTCTTCTGATGGCGAGCTCGAGGCAGCGCATGCCATTCCCGACCAGAAGGCCGATGCGGATGCAGCCGAGCTTGAGGTGGACCTCGACTTCCAGAAGCACTTGGAGGAGTCACTCCGAGAAGGGGCAGATGCCATCGGCTTGGTCGAAGACCCAGCCGCGCCGATTGCTCCTGCAGGTGGCGATGATGCAGCTCCCGAGGTTCAGCCATGGGAGGAAGTCGACGGGCCGTCAGCAGCTGGGTATTGTTACAGGCACGGGCGCTGCATTGGTCGCATCCAGCGCGGCAACCCCGTGGGGTCCGTGTACGTGACTTGCTCCATCCACACGAAGTGCAAGCTCACGATGACCGCGTCCCGCGCCCCAGATGACGGCGTGCTCAAGCAGTGGTTCTTCGAGGTCCCTGCGCCCCCGCCTGGTGCGACATCCGAGCAGCGGGCCAAGCTGGCGAAGAGGCACATGAACAGGGGCAAGCGCAGGTGGTACGCTCGTGCTCCTCCGCCGTCCAGCGACGAGGAGATTGGCGGAGCTTGACTTGCTCCGCTAGCGCTTGCTATGTGATTGCGCCCTCCAGCTGGAGGGCGCTTGAGACAACAGAACTGTTCGATGCGAGCTCGCATCGATTGAAGGATCAACAATGGCCACGGATCGAGGAGGAAGATGATGATAACACCCATGATTGCATGACGGGGAAAGGTGGGAGGCCGAGGAAGGGTGGGAGGTGGAGAAGGCGGTCGACCAGCATCAGGCCAGGGGGAAGGAACTCGATGAGGAGGAGGAGGATGCGTGGCCACGCCATCCCTGACACTCGAGCTCACTTTGGTGTTTTCTGAGCCAGGCCCAGCCGCTGGGGCGGTGCACATACTATCCCCCGCTTCACTGCCCTCGACCTGCCGTCATCTCTCGTCGTCGCAGTCGCCCTCGCAACTTTTCCCCCACATCGGATTCATCCCCCCACTCGTCGCGCCGAACGTTTGCCATCCCCTCCCCTCCCCGCCCCCCCCGTTCCCGCCCGCCAGCGGGAGGCAGTTCTTATCGTCCTGGGGCCACTCGGGCCGCCTCTTGCAAAATCCATTTTGTCGCAGAGTACTCTGCCTCACCCACCCCGCGCGCTCGGCCCTGCCCTCCCGAAGCGCCCCGTGATTTTCAAGCCGTTGGGTTTCCAGAGAACCTTCGGGATGGGAACGCCCACCTCCCCTCCCAACCCCCGCCCCCTCATCTACTCGAGAGGGCGACCCGCTCCCTCGGGAGATGGGGCGGGCCAAAGGAAGGAGATGCGGCTGTTCGACCCAAGCATTCCGAATGTGCTTCTGGACCACGTCATCCACATAAAAGGCCCTACAAGTCTTGCACGTGTTCGGGGGCGCACGGGGGCCCAGTGCCGTCACCATGGCATCCTTGCATGGTGACTCCGAACTAGGTCCCCCCACCCCTCCCCTCCTCCAATTCCCCCCCTCCTCCCTCCCCTCCTCCATCCCCCATCCTTCCATCCCCCCTCCTCCTCTTCGTCCTCCTCCTCCTTCTCCTCCTCCTTCTCCCTCCCCCCGTCGGTCTTTCTTCCACGCGCGTGTCCGCTCGCCGTAGGGGCCCCAGGGCAACCTCAGCGCGCTCTCCGCCAGCGGCGGTCATCGTCCCTTGGCGCCCCCGTCTCGTCCGAATCGCCTCAGCGCCGCGCCACCCTGTGCAGGTCCTTCGACCGTCCGTGTCGTGTAGGCCCAGGACAGATACATGTCCCTTGGGCCAGGACAAGTTCCTTTCCCTTGGGCCAGTTAGGTTGGGTGGCCTATCTCCGCCAGCAGGCAATGCGTCCGCGCGCCGTGCGCCCGCCACCTCCAGCCCTCGCAAACGAGGGTATGGAAGCAATATTAGGATGGCCCGTGTCAGAGTGGCCAGGACAGCCCAACGCACATATCATGAATCACGTGCGTGCAAATGCGCACCATGATAAATGTAGCTCGCCAGTACGGTCATGTACACACATGCGTGCATGTATGGGCGCGCTTGAATAATCATGTCATGTGTCAGCGCCAACATAAACACGGAAACCACATTTAATTTGCGCAGCATGGGTTTTGAGATTGCGGGTTGCACCCGACATAATCACGCAAACCGCGTCGCGAACCATTCGAGCACGCACGACCCGATGCAAAGCCACACGTGTCACGAACAGCTCTATCACGATGAAAACCCCCAGCTGGTTCTGGGCGGGGGGGCGCAATGCCGCCCCCTAGCTGCGCGAACGAGGCCCAACCAGGGCTTCATGAACGCCCGCAGCTACGGGAACCGCGGCAGCCGCTTAAACCTATCTTTGTATAGGCCGCCGCGCGCATCACCTAGGACACTCGGAACAGGGCATCAGTGGGGCGCTCTGGGGGCGGGGAGAGGGGGCACCAAACGGGCGTCAATTGTGCCGCGCCACGTCTTAAAACATGCAGCACGCCCAAGCCGAACAACAGCCCAATATGACACTCCCACGATGGATGTTGCCCTGGGGGGGTGCATGGTTCGGTCGCAGCTCGCCGCTGCGACCGAGTCGGTTTTCGCGTTGCGAACCTACACAGGTGTCCCACTCGCCCCACCCCAGCGCAGCCATCACCTAAAGTTGCGTTCTGTCCGTCGCGCGCCAGTGCAATCTCTTTCTCGCCAGTGCCTCCCTCTGCGCACGCGCCGCCCCGCCCGCCAGGATGAGATCGTCGACTTCGCGGACCTCGCCATTCCCATGCAAAGACGCCTTTCGGCGATTCCGAACCCACGCGGCGAGAACGCCACTTACGATGTGCAGCAAAGCCCACTGCCAGCGGCCAATGGCTAGGCTGCGCGCAAAGACACCGTAGCGGCTTCACCCGAAGCGCGTGCTGGACTCACGCTCACGAAGCGTTCTCGCGGGCCCACGCCATGGTTGAGCTCGATGGAACGCGATGCCAGCCGAAGGGGCGCAAGTCTGGGTCACCGCGGCAGCCTAACCGCCGCTGCGTGGGGCCCGCGGCCAGCGCTCCAACCAGGGGCAGCGCGACGTGCTCGAACGCGACAGTTCCGCGTTGAATGTCTGAGCGCGCGATGCAGCTCATAGTTGCGACCGCGCCGCCAGGCACTTTGACCGAGTCGGCGTGGGCGCGCCTGGCCACTTGCGCGGCGAGGCCGCAGCCGATTGCGCCGCGCCGCATCGCCCATGGCTCGGGGGTATGTCGCGGCGGCGTCAAATCTCGCGGCTGGCGGAACAACCAGCCGCGCGCTGTTGTTAAAATAAAGCCGTTGCCAACTATCACGCCACGCCCCCGCCCGCCTGGCACTGCACGGTAGAGGCCAGTCGTAGAAGGCGCCATCAAGGGCGAATTGCGCAGCAGCTAAGTCGCGTTTGGCGTCGCGAGTTAGTTTGTGCGCTCGGGGCGCGCGGTTCTGCGCGGGCCTCTGCCGCCCTGTGCGCTGCGGCGGCCTCTCGGCTTGCGACGTCATATCGGGGCGCGCAGCTCGCAGGCATTGCGTGGATTCCCCGAAGCGCAATGCGCTTCACCGACCGCCACTGCCACGCGGCGGCGTCGGAGCAGTCGCAAGGCTCGGTGCGCCACCCCGAGCGCGCGAGCGCGGCGCCCCATGGGCGATGGCCCGACGGCCCTGTCATTTGGCAGGCCGACTGGCTCAGCGGCAGCTTGGCAGCACAACGGGACTTGGATTTGCTTCGCGGTGCAACCATTTCGCTCGCCAATGCCTGCGTTGGCGCCCGCAACTTGACTTCGCGAGTGCAAGTCGACTTACCGTTTCGCCGCCCTTGCAAGTGCAACTTGACCTGTGTAGATTTTCTGCTCCACAAGTCGAGTCGACTTCACATGCCGAGTCGACTTCGCAAGTCGAGCCGACTTCACAAAGCAATTCGACTTTCCATGTTGACTTTGCAAATCGGCTCGCCAGCGCGAGTCGACTTTGCATGTCGACTTTGCATGTCGATCTCGCGGGTTGACTTGGGCGGCCCGTATACGCACGTCGACTCGGCAAGTCGACTTGGCAATTCGATTCGGCGTTGCATGTCGACGTCGCAAGTCGACTCGACAAGTTGACGTGGCATGTTGACGTTCTAATCTTGCGGCTACGGGTATGCAAATTGACCGAGCGTCGTCGGCCGAGTTCCTGCAAGTCGACCGACCGAGCCAGCTTCGCTTGCTTGGCGTTGGGTGGGCCAAGCTGGTCCGCTTGCCGACCGTCGGTTCGACCGTCGCTTGCAGATTGGAGCGTCGCGGTTGCAATTTTCTAGCCGTTGCAAAGTGGGCGTGGCGCGCGTTGCGATGGCGGTGGTGGCGCGCGCGCGCGGCTGGGAATGGATGGGGCACGCGTGTGCGGTGGCGCCCGTGCGTCCACGTGCTGCACGCGCGCGCGTGTGCTTGTGGTGTGTGTGTGTGTGTGTGTGTGTGTGTGTGTGTGTGTATGTGTGTGTGCGTGTGGGGGGGAACGGTGATGGTCGATGGGCGAGCGGGCGATGGGCGCGCGCGGGGCGACCCGATGCGCGCGCGGCATCGGCGGCGGCGCGTTGGAAGGGAGGGGGTCTTTGCAAATGCCCAGTCTTCTTTTGACACATAGGCGTCATGCATCAACGATCGCGCCCGTGATGCGGCCGTCGCCAGCCAGGCGCTCGCGTGATGCAGCGCCCTTGGCCATGTCAGCTGGCGAAGCACGCTGGCATCGGTTGGCCACCGTTGCCTTTGGTGGCGTGGACTCCATTGAAAGCGCGCGCGGGTTTACGCGCTCGCGCTCGCGTTGTCGTTGTTTGGCGTGCTTCCGCGCGCGTGGATCATGCGCGCGCCCGATCGAGCGCGCGCGCGGCATCCGATGTAAGCTGCGCCGCTCGTCTCCTTCTGCGGTGTGAAGGTAGCTCGGAGATAGGCTGCGCTACGCTCATCATTCAAAGGGGCGTGGGGCGCGCGGGCGGTTTAGTCGGGTGCGCCGAATTGTTCGAGCGTCGTTGAGTAGCGCGCGCGCCACTTGCCCGCCGCAGCGTTCGGGTTTGCAGGGCCATGCCCGCAGCGCGAGCGTTATCTTTACGGCGCGCGCTTGCTGTCGCACCCCGCAGCGAGCGCTTCTCCCGACCAAGCGCGCGATCGGATGGTCCACTTAGTTAGCGGTGCGCGCTTTCCGTGGCGGGGCGTCACTTATCCTGCTGCGCCGCTGCCGAGCATCTTAGCTGCGCGCCCAGCTTGTGAGCCTGGATGTGTATTTGGGTGCGCGGCGGAATGGTGAACCATTCTGAGAACAGGCGCGCGTGCGCCCGCCTCTTGCCAGAACGGCTGTAAAAAAACGCAAGCACGCGCCCGTTGAGGCACGCATGCAGCCTTGCACCGTTGCGGCGTGTGCATCGCGGTATACCTCGGAGCCGCTGCCACCTGCTGCCTACGATGGTCTTGCAGACCGCCTACCTTGTCGCATTGCGTTTCTTCGGTCCCAAATGCATCCACCCCCTTCGTCGTAATTCCGTCAATGCTGGCTTCCGTGTTTATTAGTGTATTATGTACCAGGTTTGGTAACACATTCTGTAGGTTATGGGTGCTGGTCTTTGTGCGCTGCATCGTGTGCATGTGCATTCCATGTTCTGATACCATGCGCATGTCATGTCGAAGCGTTCGCATGTGTTTGTCATGTCGCGGCTCCACGTGCGATACAACGTCGTGATATTGCGACAGCGCGGGCGGAGGAAGGGATGGCGGGACGAAGGAGGGGGGGGGGCGGAGGAGAACGAGTTTTTTCCCCAGAGCTTCCAGGCCCGAGATTTCCATGTCTCGGGCGCTCCAGGGAGCTTGCGCTGCTGCGTCGGCGGCGGGCGGCCCAGGATTCGGGGCCGAGATGGCGGCGCCGGCGGCTGATGTTGCCGCCCCAGCAGCGGCGGCGGCGGCTGGCGAGGCCGACGGGGCAGGTGCCGAGGCAGCCGCGCCACCGCATCCACCGCGCACCTTGCCGCTGAGCCGCTTGTCGGTGGACGCCCAGCGCCTGGCGCAGTTGGTGTCCGACGAGACGGAGAACGTGGGCTCCGTCTTGGGGCTCTCTCCGCCAAGGGTGCCAGGGATACGTGATGCGTGCGCACATCCTTGCTGCAGCCGCTGCTGTAGCTGTTGCCTGCCAGTCGCATCGTCCGACGTCGAACATTCGTTCGAAGGCAGACGATGCGACTGGCAGGCAGCGCGTGCGTTCGTGGGCTGTCCCTCCTTCCGAGGTGTGCTACTTCGACGTGGCTCGCACGCTGGCCGCGCTCCGCACCGTCACCAAGCAGCAGCTCAGCGGCGAGAAGCGCGGGATCATAATCCCAGGCATCGTGAAGCTCAAGGCCAAGCGCAAGCAGGGATCTCCTGCGAGGACCATCAAGGACCGCCAGATTATTTTCTCTGGGCGGGAGCAGGAGGAGGAGGCGGTGGAGGACGAGAAGGAGGAGGCGGAGGAGGGGGTGGGGAGGAGGAGGATGAGGAGGAGGAGGAGGAGGAGGAGGAGGAGGAGGAGGAGGGGGAGGAGCCCCCGTGCTAACAGCGGCATCCGAGATTCGCGGCAGAGATGTGAACGTCGCCGCGAGGGGGGAGCACCTGCAGGTCAAAGCAACGCCGCACGGCGACATCAGGAGGATCGATCTCCAGGCGGCGCAGCCGCAGGCACAGCAGCAGGGCGATCATGAGGACGCGCAGCCCCTGGAAGTCGACTCCGAGGACCACCCATCATCGAGTGCTTCAGATTGAACGTGCGTTGGCGGCACAGCGGCAGTTTGCAGTTTTGTTCGAGCAACGCCTCCAGCATGGCTTGCATCGTGAAGACGTTTAAGTCTCCTCAGCCAACTCTTCGTTTGAATATTGTTTTCGCTCGCGGAGGCGCTTGGTCGAACACGCCTCAGGAGCCTCGGCCCCTCCTCATCACCATCAGCCTTGTCAGTCTCGTCACGTCGGTCTCTTCGCTCTGCCTTGTCCAGCAATGCAGGTGCCCGCGTGCTCTCCTCAGCAATGAGGGGCGTCCCGCAGTGTTGTGATTGATCTCAGTATTGGTCTTGAGCTCTGGGGCGCCTGCTTCCGAAGAAAAAGGCGCCATGCGGGCTTGAGCGCCCCGCCGAGGTCCAGCCGCGGCCTCAAGGGCACGCCCATCCAGAAACGACGCTGGGACCGTTGGCTTCCCCGTGCGATGACACAGCGCAGCGCAGCGCAGCATGGGGCACGTGAAACAACGCATTCGGAGACGCCCAACATGCGACCCCAGGGGTTGCAATGCGATGTCGCAATTAATAATTAATGCGACGCAGGTCTGAAACAGTCCTTCAAACTGGGGTTCCCAATGCGATTGAAAGCACAATCGACTCGCGGAAACTAAACGTCATAAATAACGGTATTGGCAAATTTCATGTGGCCTCCCAGGTGGGCCTATATACACCAAGGCCAGCAGGCGCCAGCCCAATCAAGGCCAGAACGGGCCACTGCAAACAACAACAACGACGGATCCAACAACGCCGAGCTGAAACCACGCGGCCCCCAGCAGGCCAGAAATGGTCAAACATCAAACCGTAAACCTTATTTCGGCTCAAGGCTCATGCCTGCTACTGGCTCTTCCCAGGGCCACCTGTCGAGGGGAGCGAGCTGCCCGACGCGCAATGCCTCTTGTTGTGAAGGAGGAGCTTCACCCCAGCGGCGGCGACGGCGCCCGCGAGCCGCTGAGTGCGCTCAACGTCGGGATGATCACCTTGCCGCCAGAGATGGACCCAGATCGCCAGTCTGGGTGGTTTGAGGCCAGCCCGACCAACGAGAACGATGGCGAGGTGGCGGGCGAGTCGGCCGTCAAGCGCGAGGGCAGCGATGACGAGCAGGCCGCTGCGGTTGCACAGGCTGACGCTGCGTGCCGCGCCGCGATGCCAGAGGTGTCCAACTTGACGGTGTCGTTGATCGACTTGACAGATCCGCAGATGAAGGTCGAGCAGCTAGAGGGTGGGAGTGCCAGCGGCAGTGGGGTTGCCGCCGCTGTCTTGCCCGAGGAGGCCGGGTACGCAGCGCGTCTTCTCGATGGCGGCGAGGAGGGCGAGATCCCGACTTTGTTGGACCCAGCTTTGTACCAGTGCGAGCCCACGCCTCTGTCCATGAAGGAGGACTTTCCCAAGGGGCTGACGTACCAGTACCTCGGGCGCATCAGGACGACGGTGAACTCGTACGTCGAAGCGTTGGCCGCCTTCGAGTGGCACAGGGGGTTCAAGGCAGCCACGATTGGTGCGTTAGGACGACGGCTCAACGGTCACGAAGAGAAGATATTTGGGAAGGCAACGTTGGATATCCAGGTTTGTTTCAAGCAGCTCCAGGAGCGTGTCAAAGCCCTCTTGCACGTCAACAAGGCCTTCACCACGTGGGCGCAGGTGAGAACTGACGACAAGTTGGTCGAGTGTTTGCCGCACATGAAGGCTCTGCTCATGTACCTGAAGGCGTCGGGCTACGAGCTGGCGCCACCCGTCGCGCTCGTGACAGTGAAGGCAGCGTTCTTCAATGCTTATTTGCAGGACTCGTCGGTTGCCAAGGCGATTGGAATGCGAAGCGAACGGTGCTTCGATACCGAAGCTGGGGCTGCCAACCCAGCACTTCCAGGTGTCCTGGGTTGGGCCGCCCAGGGTCCAGAGTGGTGGCGTTTTTTGTTCGAGTGCGCCTGATGGCGTGGGGGGGGGAGGTAGCGGCAGTTCCAGTTTCGGTCGGGCACGCGTCCGTTTCGCATTCGTGGAGGCAATGTTGCGCTGCGGCCTCCAAGGGCTGGATCTGGTTCACGAGCGCGCAGTGGAGTATTTGAAGAAAGGGGAGGAGCTGGCGGCGGCCCAGGTGGAGGCGGCAGAGGGCGCTGCTGATCATGGCGGCGAAGCCCAGTCGTCGGCTCCAGCCGCGAAGGCTCGCAAGAAGAGCAAAGTTAAGTTCATCGATGACGTTGTTGACCTCACTCTTCCCGTGGCCAAGCAGTTCGGCATAATGGTGCGCAGCGCTCTGCAGCATTTCTGGCAGTCAATCGCCACTGGGGACACTATCAAAGATGGCATGATCATCGGCGTCGCGGAGCAGACTGAGGAGGTGTGGGAAGCGTGGGTGAAATTGTTCTCTGACCGTGCTAAGACGATAGACACCTGCCAGATCGAGACGGCGTTGTGTAGCATCAAGGTTGTTGCCCAATGCGTCCGCGAGAACGAGAAGGACAAGCCGCCGACTTCGGATGTTCGTGCTGCGCGGAAGTTTATCCATGCGAATTCTGTTGGGAAGGGTTCGGACGAGATCGGGCAGGTGGCTCAGGACCTTTGCAAGCTGATGATCGGCTACAAGCCCTCCATCTACATCATGGAGGTCGCTCGGAGGCATGCGTCCCGAGGGTTTGAGGACGACGCTGCGAGCAAGATTTTCGAGAGCGGTTGCGCCAATTTCGAGACCAATTTTGAAACAGCGTACGCCGACATGGAGTTATTCATTAACGAGCCCGACAAGAGCGACGATGTCCACGCAACCATGACGTACTCGATCCTCCTGAAGAGGCTCTTGCCAATCAACGACCTCCTTGTGGCTATCATGAATTCGGCCTTGCGGTGGTCAGTCGCAGCCATGAACGACAACCTCGACTCCGTCACGTCAGCTATCGCCAACGCATTGGAATTGGTGTCATGCGGAGTGTATGGGGTCATGCCAACTTTCCACAAGCTCGTCTGCCGCCCATTGTCCCGCGCTCTTGCCGACCGAGCAGCTATGGATTCAGCAGGGGGCGTAGATTGCGACGGCGGCGCTGGACGGGATGGCTCAGCAGGCCTTTCACTCGGAGACCAGCCACAGCCAGCGAGGGGCAGCGAGAATGCCGATTCCGAGCAAGGCCTTGAGCTTGACGCAGTGCGCCCCGACCGCACTGACCCTGTGATGTTAGTATTGGGGGGCCTGCGCACGGTCAAGCAGAGCGGAACTGATTACCACGCTGGCTTGCAGCAGCTGTTGCAGGGGATCTCGAAGTGCATCGACGCGCTGACGCAGCGGAGGGGCGACCCAGAGTTCGCAGAGATGATCGCCTCGCTGGGTTCCGTGACGGAGGTGGCGGCCGCCCTCAACGGGAACTGGAAGATGGTCCAGGACATGGTTGACTACATGCAGGCGTGTGTCGAGATCTCAGCTGTCTTGACAAAATCGGATGGAGCAGAGCTGTTTGGCCCAACCAAGTTTGATGCATCGCTCAGGGACTACGCCATCACCATGGCTCGACTCCAGCACGAGCTCGCGGGCATCACCGAGATCGTCTTCATGGGCACCAGCTCCGTCGACGACGCAGCCGTTCTCAATGATATCAGCGTTACATTCTTCGGCTTTAAGGCGCAGGTCGCCGACGCAGTCTACGATCAGATCGCATCTATCTGGATATCTCCTACGGTCATGTCCATGTTGGGGTTCAGCGAGCTCGAGGTCGCCGTGGTCCAGGATGACGTGCTGGAGTCCACCGACCGCGCCCGCGTGCTAGGGCGCCTCATTCGCAAGCCTGGCGTCAACGACGCGCTTCCAGGCGACATCGAGGCGATGCTGAAGCTGGAGGAGGCCGACAGCGACCAATTCGACGAGCTGGTTCACCACAGAACGCTGAGTGCGCTCAAGGAGTTCGCCGCTGCTACTAACATGAGCGTGATCCAGGCCGCCGGCGTGGTGATGCGAGATGGCGAGCAGGCCTGAAGGGTTGGGCGGGGGGGGCTGGCAACGGAAACTCGCAGCGCCACCGCAAGTTTAGTTTCCAGGGGCGGTGTCGGATACCCGTGGCCCTTTGCCACATTCAAGCGGTGAGCGCTCGTGATTTACCGCGCCCCTCCCCCGACCTGTGCCGAAAGGGCAACGACCGCGCCGTGCCATTCGAGGTGGCGGCTTTCGTGTTCGACTTGATGACTGCAGTGAGGGACCTTGTCATGATGGCCATTGCACTTCAGCGCCACCTCGTGAATATGGACGGTGAGGTTGCCAAGGAGGTGGAGCTTGCTAAGGCGCAGTACCACCCAGTCTCGAACATCCATGTGAATGCCTTGTCGCTGATGTACGACCGCCTGAAGCTGATCGATACCTTCGTCACGAGCGAGGCTGCGAGGAAGATGGAGCTCGACGGTTTCAGCATGCGGATCCCTGTGCATTGTCTGGGGAAGTGGGCCACGCAGGTAGCAACGTTCACGAGGAGATGCCGAGATGACATCATGGAGTTGCGCATGGCTGGTCTCGCCAAGAGCGTTCTGGAATGCAGGGCCGATCTCCCGCTTTGGCAGCCCATATTCACAGATAACTCGTTCAACTTGGCGATGGCGGTCGACCTGTTGGACGGAAAGCTGGCGAACGTCGTGAGAAGCTACAACGCGTTGTTCGGTGTGCTTTCCAAAGTTGACACTGCCTCCAAGCGCGTTGAGCTGTCGCCCCCCCTTCAGCACAACCCGTTGACGATGTCTGGCGTCGCCGTGGCGTCCCAGACCCTCGCGAACCTCTACGAGGCCTCAGTTCTCATCCAGGGCGTGAACTTGTTGAGGTTCCAGTCGCGGGGCCCAGCGTCATCCAAGGCGGCCCGTGAGTTCAATGCCAAGCACAAGGCCGACAAAAAGATCAATCTCCCGAATGCCTTCTGGGCAGAGCTGGCCTGCGTCGAGGACGGCGCCTCGGCGCCGATGGAGCCCCTTCGTTCCCCGACCGCCTTGAAGCTCGAGGCGCAGAGCTTGACCAAGATCCGCGGCACCGCCTCTGCGAGCGGCGCGTCGGCTGCTTCCTCGTCGGCGTCGGCTACGACTGCAGCGCCGCGCCAGGGAGCGGCTGGCATCTCGCCATCCGTTTCGGCAGGGCCCCCGTCGGTGTCGGAGTCAGCGGCGGCCGACGCAGGCCCGCCCGCCAAGAAGGCGAAGTTGGCGCGCCTGTCTATCGGCAGGCGTTCGTCGTAGCCGCCGTCGAGTTTTACAATTGGGCTCGCAAGACCTGCGATCACATCGGCAGCAATCCTCGGGAGTTTCATCGATCAGCCCATGGATTTATGGCACGCGTCATGAAAAGCACGCAGTTTAATGTTTGAGGCAGCTTTGGGCCAACTTCGAAACAGCTTCTGGCAACCTTCGAAACAGCTGATGTGATCACGCGTGTCAGCCATGTCACTGCACGGCAGTGCTACCAGGGGTGCATCCTGAAGGGGCGAAGGGTTCGTGCATCGCAAGTGCGGTGGCGCTTGCACTACCCAGGGGATTCTCGGGGCCGACGTTTGAGGAGGTTGCGCGATGCTTTAGCGGGCGTTGGATCGATATTGAGGTGTGTAGCCCCGCTTCGCACCGCCACGGGACCAAAAAGCGTCGTCGCGCTCGCGATGTGCGTGCCCGACGTTTTATCCGGATGCACCCCGCCAGGTTGTCTAGTGTTGGGCCGTGGCAAGCGCATGCAGTCTGTGCGAGAGCTTGCCACGGCGTCGAGTGGTTACAGCGTCGACTACCCCCCCCCCCCCCCTCCTTCAACAACTCAGTGCCCTCATCCCCAGAGAAGTAGGCCGTAGTGCAAATTGGGTTGAGCGACGGTGTGTGTTAGGCTGGAGCTAATATGTGGCCGAGGGGTCATCGCGAGAAATATGGCGGGGTCTGCCAACCCTTCCCCCCCTCGGTGGCCTTCAGGGGCCGCGCACAGATGTCGCCCGAATTGCGACACGCGACGTTTTCTAGCGGGGCATCTTCTTGTCGCCCTGGTGCCCCACCCCGCGTTTTGCGAGGCCCGTTTCTGGCAGAAGGGTGCCCTGTCAGTTCTTCCACGGGGGCCTCTGAATACAGTCATTCAGATCTCAGGGGGGGCGAACATACTTTTGCACATGTTATCTTGGGTCGGGGGGGGGCGCGTACCCTCTGGGGTTGCGTGGGCAGGGGGGCGGAGGGGGCGTAGGGATGAGGGTGGCGGTGGTTTGGATGAGGATGCGGGGCAGCAGGACGAGGTGGATCAGGAGGGGGAGGGGGGGGGTAGAGGACCGTAGCGGTTTCCACTTTCGTCTCCGTTTCTCTCTCCACGCTGGTGCCACCCGTGCCGACGAGAACGGCCATCAGTGGCGCGGGGGGATCGCGGTGAAATTGCGCTGGGCCGAGCTCGGAATGAAGGAAAGCTTCAGCGGAGAAGGAGAAGGAGGAGGAGGATGATAATGACCATGGGGGCAAGGAGGAGGACGAATAAGCAGACAAAGAGGGAGGCAGAGCACAACATAGGGCAGACGGGAGGAGGCAGAGGAGGCTTGAGGAGCAGCGTGCAGTAGTGAGGCCGACAGTGTGGTCTTGCCACGTGTGTGTGTTATGGAGAGATCGTCTACGCGTATGTCAACCACCGCTACTGCTCTGTATTGCGTTGCATGCATCGTTGGTAGTTCAGCATAGCATTGCATGGCGGCGCGCGTTGCCGTTACCATAGCCGCCGCATTGCGTGATTCTAACATGGTCTTGGAACACCAAAGCAGCTTTGCAATCGCAGGTCATGCCACGGCCACGTAGCCTTCCGTAGTAAAGCCGTTGCACGAATGAGAGCACAGCGTAGCACTGCATGGCCCAGGACGCGTTTGGGCTGTTGTGGGTGCGTTTCTGCACACGTGCTTTCGGTTGTCCCGAGCGCTCGCGTTCGCCAGCGTTTTCGCGGTCGCCGACGGACAAGTTGACGGCGACCACCCCCGCATCAAGATGCATCTTGACTTACCAAGGCGATGTTGCAACTGAGTCCTCTTAGCGCCCCCCCTAAAGTCCTGGCCCCAGGGGCACCCTGAAGTCTTGCGACTCTCCGGATCCGCCGTGTGGACATCGAGCGCTTGCAGGTGCTCACGCTTATGGACGCTTCGTTTGCGAAGGAACCCGGCTGTAAGAGCCAGATGGGGTTCATGAGTATGATTACGGATACCCGAGTGTTGAAGGAGCTAGCTGTATGTTGTCTAGTGGAGTTCCAGAGCAGTACAATTACACGAGTTGTTGGATCTACGATGGCCGCGGAGTCTGCGGCTATGTCCGTGGCTTTGGATCGGCAGCTTTACCTCAGGCTGCTGAGTGAGGCAGTCTTGCACGGGGAGCCGCCCTTGCAAGGGGACTGGAGGCTGGCGCTGAAGGTTCCGGGGGCGCTGGTGACGGACGCGAAGTCGCTCTACGACCACACGTCCAAGATCGGCTCGATGCCGGTGTCTCGGCAGCCACTCATCGACTTGTTGGTGGCCAAGGATTTGATCGAGCAGGAGGCCATCAAGTTCAAGTGGCTGCCCAATAGCCACATGCTGGCGGACGTGCTGACAAAGGCCGTGCAGCCTAACGAGGTGCTATCGCAGTTCCTCCGCCACGGACTGTTCAGCATGGCGCCGACTGCTGAACAAGAGGATGAGGAGGCACACCGTCTGCAGCTGCGCCGCGGACAGCGTGAGAGAGCCAAGGAGCGGAAGGCCCAGCGTCGGGCCGCCGTTCCAGGGCCTGCGAGCCCGTGAGGTCCTGATTGCAGCCGCTGCATGGACCTAGTGAGGGCTACGGAGATGTGTGCACATACATTGAGATGACAGTCTGGACTAGTGAGTCTAGACATTCATATTTTATATTTTATATTTTGAGCCTCAGGCCGCACTTTGCTTGAGGTGTATTGGCCTGTGGGCCGGTATAGGCGATAACTGCGTGCAGCGTTTCCCGCTTGTAGGGAGCGGCATCGGGGCAGCATTGTACTCACCCAGTGTGAAGAGTGCACTCCCCTGCCCCTCTGCCGCCCGTGCCACCGTGTACGCATGATGTACATGCTTTTCATGTTTGTGGCATGCACGCTGCCCGCCGCTGTTTTGGCCCTAGTCCTAGGGCCCTGGGACTGCACCCGCGGTTGGACTGCCGCGCGGTCCGAGCTAAAAGAACTGCACTGACACTGGGGGGCCCAGCACAGTGACGCCACGCGCGGACCCAAATTAGACCTCGCCATCCCTGGGGGGCTGCGATCTGAGATCCCCGCTTTCGAAGTGGCTAGAGTTGCTCAGGGATTGCAACTAATCAGCTTTATCTAGTCCTTGTCCTGAAGCCAGTTTCCTGCGAGTCTCCCGAATTCCGTCTGCAGACATATGTAACCCTCGCTCCGTCATCGCCCCCCTTATAAAGTGTCCTAAACTATTTGCGCCCCGCGTTTGCGCAGGGGTTGGGTACGTCGCCAGGGTAATTTTTCGTTCCCGGGCGTTGGCACGGGACGAGTTGAATGATACACTTGCGTTGCAATCGATTGCAATCCATTGGATTGCAAACGATTCGATTCCAATCCATTGGATTGCAATCGATTGGATTGCAATCGGTTGAATTGCAATCGATTCAATCGATTGGATTGCAGGGAAGGGACAGGACGGAAGGGAGGGAGGGGAGGAGAGGGAGGGGAGGGAGGAGATGGAACGAAGGGTGTGGAGGGAGGGGAGGGAGCGGAGGAAGGTGGGGAGGGGGATTGCAGTGGAATGGAGTGCAATCGATTGCAAGCGATTCGATTGGGATTTTCGATCGTCGATCGTTGATCGTCGATCGTCCAGCCTCGATCGTGGATTGTTCATTTTGGATCGTCGGCGAAAGGGAGGGCGGAGGCTCCGGGGGCTGGGCGGCCAAAGGGGGGAAGGGGGGGGGGCTTCCAAGCCCCCTCCCCCCCCCTTTGGCACAAAGGGGGGGAGGGGGGGGGGGCTTCCAGCATGGGAGGGGGGGGGGGGGGGGGGGGGGGGGGCGGCTCAAAGGGAGGGGGGGGGTAGCTTAAGCACCCCTCGCCTTTGAAAAAGGTGGGTAGAGGGGGGGGTGAGCTTCCCGGGGCGGCCAAGGGGTTGGGGGGAGTGGGTAGCTTCCAACACCCCCCCCTTTGCAACGAAAGGGGGGGAGGGGGGGTATCCGCTTCCAGAAGGGCAAGCGCCAAGGGAGGGCAAGGTGTAGCTTAACACGCCCCCCCCCCTTTTGGAAAGGGGGGAGGGGGGGGGGGGGGGTATCTTCCGGGGAGGGCCCCAAGGTGGTAGGGGGGGTGGTTAGCAATGTAAGCCCCCCCCCCTTGCAAAAAAAAGGGGGGAGGGGGGGGGTGCTTCCAACAAGGGCGGCTCAAGGGAGGGGGGTGTAGCTTAAGCCTAGCCCCCCCTCCCCTTTGCTCGGGCCCTGCGGGCGCGCTCTCTCAAAGATTTGAAAAACAATCGGGAAATCACTGATTTTGATCTCCTCGGGCTCTCCTGGAGGGCCTCTTGGAGGCCTCTTGGGCCGTCTTGGAGGCCTCTTGGGGGCCTCTTGGGCCGTCTTGGACCGTCTTGGAGGCTTCTTGGGCGAACTTGGAGATATCTTGGACCCTCTTGGGCCGTATGGGAGGGCATCTTGGACCATTTTCTGCGAACTTGAGGGCCATCTTGGCCCTCTTGGAAACGATCTTAGGCCATCTTGGAGCCGTCGGGAGCAGGAAAAACCTTTGCGACCACCTCGTGTGGGCCCTTCCGGGTGGCCGGCGGGCTGGGCCAGAGCCCCAGGGGGAGTTTTTTTAGAGGGGAAAAGGAACCCAAAACCAAATCCGAAAGGATCTAGCACGCCAGGCACCCCTGTGATGAATCAACAGGGGACGGCGGATCGAGTGGCCTTCGGCCCATCCCGCCACCGTGCCTGGGTTCTGGGTTAAAGGTGTTGAGTGTTCGTTTGGGATCTCGTGGTAGGCTTCTCGGGGGCCTCTTGGAAGCACTTTTGATGCCTCTTGGGGACCGTTTTGGGGCCTCTTGGGGCCTGTCTCGGGCCGCTTGGGGGCCTCTTGGGGACTCCTTGGGCTTCTTGGAGCCTTTCGGAGGCCTCCAGGCCTCGGAAAAAATTAGCGAACACTCATGCCACATTCATCTGTGAACGCCTCCCCCTTCCCCAATGTTCAAAGTTGGCGGTGGGCCTGATGAGTTGCACCTCGACCGCAGTCTCCCCCCCGCGTGCCAACTTTGAGT